TAAAGAACTCAAAAAACACAAATAATCCATTAATAAATGGGCAAAGGAACTGAACAGACACTTCACAGAAGAAATACAATCTATCAACAAACACCCCCAAAAATGTTTACCATCTCTAGTAATCAGAGAAATTTAAACCAAAACAACACTGAAATTCTATCTCACTCAGTTAGAATGTATTAAGAATACAAGCAACAAAAAATATTGGCAAGGATGTGGGGGAAAGGGTACACTTATACATTGCAGGTAGGACTACAAATCGGTGCAACCACTCTGGAAAGCAGTCTGGAGATTCACCAGAATATCTGGAATGGAACCACCAGTTGACCCAGTTATCCCACTCCTCAGTTTATACTCAAAGGACTTAAAACAGCATACTAAAGTGACATAGCCACATCAATATTTATAGCAGCTCAATTTACAATAGCTAAACTATGGAATCAACCTAGATGCCCTTCAACAGATGAATGGATAAAGAAATTGTGGTGTACATACACAATGTATTATTACTTAGCCTTAAATAAGAATTAACTTATGGCATTTGCCAGTAAATGGATGGAATTAGAGAATACTATGCTAAGCAAAATAAGCCAATCCCAAAGAACCAAAGGCCTAATGTTTTCTCTGATATGCAGATGCTAATTCACAATGGGAGGGCAGGAAAGAATAGAGGTACTCTGGATTAGACAGAGGGGAGTGAAGGAAGGGGAGGGTGTATCGGGGGTAGAAATGATAGTAGAATGAATCGGACATTATTACCCTATGTGCCTATATGATTACACATCCTGTGTAACTCTACATCATGTACAACCAGAAGAATGAAAAGCTATACCCCATTTATGTATGATGCGTCCAAAAACAAGCAGTTCTTTTTTAAAAAATATTTATTTCTTTAGTTTTAGGTGGATACAGTATCTTTATTTCACACTTATGTGATGCTGAGAATAGAACCCAGTGCCTCATGCACGCTAGGCGAGCGCACTCCCACTTGAGCCACATCCCCAGCCCACAAACAGTTCTTTAAAGCAAAAAAAAAAAAAAAAAAGTGCATTTTGAGGTTTACAACACATATGTGACAATAACAGTGAAAAGATGGAAGACCATACAATGGCCAACAGCAAGAGGTGCGTCTTCACAGAAAGCAGCTAAATGTACTCTCCAGCCTACACCACTATGAGGAAAGGGGACAAAGCTAATCAGGAGAAATCACAAAATAATACTTAAGTTAACGCAGGAAACAGCTGGAATTAAGGGGGGAAGGGAAACAAAGAACAGAGAGGACAGCAAGAAAGCAAGTAGCAAGATAAAGTTAAACCCAACTGTGTTGCCAATCACATTACATATTACTTATCTAAATACTCCAATTAAAAAGATGAGGTTCATCGGGCCGCGGTGGTGCTTGCCTGTAATAGCAGTGGCTCAGGAAGCTAAGGCAGGAGGATCATGAGTTCAAAGACAGCCTTAGCAAAAGCAAGACACTAAATAATTCAGTGAAACCCTGTCTCTAAATAAAATACAAAAAAATAGGGCTGGGGATGTGTCTCAGTAGTGGAGTGCCCTTGAGTCACACATATGTTATAAACCTCAAAAAAAAAAAAAAACCTGAGGTTTGGGTGTGGTGGTGCACACCTGTGATCCCAGCAGTTCAAGGCTGAAGCAGGAGGATTAAAATTCAAGGCCAGCCTCAGCTTGTTAGCAGGCCCTACGCAACTTAGAGAGACCATGCCTCAAAATAAAAAATAAAAAGGTCTGGGGATGTGACTCAGTGGTTAAGTGTCCCTGGATTCAAACTCTGGTACCAAATAAATAAACAAAAAATAAAAACCTGAGGTTGTAATGCCATGTGTAGCACTCTGCTTGTCATCCTTTAAATTATTGTCACATTCCATTTTGGCCTACAAAATGGTACAGGAATGTGCCCTTTTCTGCATCATCTCCATTCAACCAGCGAATGTCAAAAGCCCACAAGTAGTGTCTTGCATTCCTGCTCCACAGGACCTCAGAGTGCTCCTCTGTGGATGCTCCCACTCTGCTGGCTTTGGCTCCCACTGTGCTTCCATAGCTATCTTTTAGAAGATGCTCTCTGACCGTGATGTGCATCCTGTCCCTCTTTCTAACCACACTCCTCCAGAAGCATGTCCTTAGAACTGCCCACTGGTGGGCGGCGGGGGGGGGGGGGGGGGGGGGGGGGAGGGTTATAGGTAACAATGCTCTTGGTTTTATTTGCCTGAAACACCTTCATCTCACCCTTACTCTTGAAAGGTATGGGGAAAGGGAAGGTAAAATTCAGGTTGGCAGTTATTTTCTCTCACATTAAGACCCATACTGTTGCTGTTAAAGACTCCAAGGAGCTAAAACATCAATTCTTCCCTAATAGAACTATAGATCCAACACCATCACGATAAAAACTCCAGGAAAATTTCTGGTAGAGTATGACAAACTCTTTCTCAAATTCATATGGAAAGGCTAAGGGCTTACAAATAACCAGAATAACTTTGAAGAATAACAAATCTGGAGGATTTACACTACCTGACTTAACATTTATTACAAAGCTATCAAGACTATTATACGGTGTGATAATAGCATAATGATATGGAACTGGATCAATGGAACAGAAGTTAGTCTATCAACAGCCCCTCCTGTGTATGAATAGTTGACTCTCAACACAGAGGTAAAGGCAGTTCACAGTTCAATCCAAAGGTGCTCAGGAAGCTAAGAAAGCCTTATGCACAAGACACCACACACAAATATCGACTCAAAATAGGTCCTATACACAATGTAAAATGTAAAACCAGGAAACTATTTGAAGAAACCCATTAGAAAATCCTTGCAATCTTGATTTGGGCAATGCACTCTACACCAAAACCATGATTCCTAGAAGAGAAAGAAGATATATTAAATTTTACCAAAATCAAAATTGATTTTGCTCTCTTTAGAAATGCTCATTAAGAGAACAAAAGGCATGCCATAAACTGTGAGAAAATGTGTTTTACTACATACCTGACAAAGACTCATATATAGAACATGCCAAGAATTCTTGATAACAAGAAATAACCCAGGGACTGGGGTTATGGCTCCGAGCAAGAGAGCTCGCCTAGCATGCGTGAGGCACTAGGTTCAATCTTCAGCACCAATAAAAATAAAATAAAGGCATTGTGTCGACCTACAGCTAAAAAATAAGTGTTAAAAAAAAGAAATAACGTTAAATAAAAATAAATAAATAATGGTTAAATAAATAATAGTGTTAAATAAAAATAAATAATGTCAAAAGACAGGAATAGACATTTCATCAAAGAAGATACAGGGGGCTGGGGATGTAGCTCAGCAGAAGAGCACTTGCCTAGCATTTTTTAGGTCCTGGGTTCTGTCCCCAGCACTGCCAAAAAAAGGAAAAAAAGAAAAAGAAAAAAGTAGCAGCAGCAATAGCTATACAAATGGCGAAGAATCACAGGGAAAAAAATGCTTTACACCATTACTGACAACAAAAATGCATGCTAACCACAGCAGGGTGCCCACTGTAGCACCCTACTTCGCTACTCAACTGTCCACAACTGAACAAGAGGGCTGGACCAAGCACTGGTGAGGATATGCTAAACTAGAATGGTTTAGTCACTCTGGAAAACAGTTTGCTAGTTTCATAAAAACTGACAGACAGGGCTGGGGGTGTAGCTCAGTGGTAGAGCACTCGCTTAGCATGTCCAAGGCTCTAGATTCCAACCCTAGCACCACAAAAATAAAAAACAAAAAGAGAAAAATTAACATACACCTATCATACAACCCAGCCACTTTACTCCCTAAATATTTACCCAAGAGAAATAAAAGGACATGGTCATTCAAAGACCCATGAAAGAATGCTCATAGTAGCTGTACCTGCAATAGCCCAAAGATGGAGATGACCCAAATATCCAACAAACAGCAGCCGAATAAATACACCATGATATATCTTCATAAGACAATACTACTTAGTAATAAGTAATGAACTATTAACACACATAAAAACATGGGTGGGTCTCAAAATAATCATGCTGAGTGAAAGAAGCTGGCAGAAAAGAATACAAACTATGATTCTACTTATTTAAAAGCATGGAAAATAAAAACAAAACTACAGTGCAGAAAGTGAATGGCTCTCTGGAAAGAAGGGGGCCACAGAGTGCCCAAAGTGCCTTTCTAGGGTGATGGATTTCATCATTACCTTGACTATGGTCATGATTTCATGGGTAACTATTTGTATCAAAATTTATCAATTGTTCAACTCTTTTTTTTTTTTTTTGAGAGAGAGAGAGAGAGAGATTTTTTTAATATTTATTCTTTTAGTTATCGGCGGACACAACATCTTTGTTAGAATGTGGTGCTGAGGATCGAACCTGGGCTGCACACATGCCAGGCGAGCACGCTATCACTTGAGCCACATCCCCAGCCCCAATTGTTCAACTTTTAATGTATGGGAATTTCTGCATGCCAATCATGCCCTGATAAACCTTTTAGAAAAAGTAAGTAGTCACCACCAAGTAGAAGTGAAGCTCAAAAATAGATCTGAATTATGAAACAACAAGGAAAGTCAAATTTTTTTTTTGCATAAACCACACCCCCAGCCTTAAAGAAAATCTGAACAGACACACACACATAGATAGATATAACTTCAGAGTTGCAATATTTCTCCAATTTCTCTTTTCCCAAATTCTTTATAATGACAGGACTTCTCCTGCTGCAGATACCACATGCAATACTGTTTTGCTCACAGAGAAAGGGAAGGTGTATGCTGTTTTATATAATAATCTTCTCTGTATCATAGCTCACAACACATCCCAACTAAATCAAAAGGAACATTTGAGAATCAGCACTAAAAACCACTTAGCACACCAATGAATTTTCTTAAGTTTGCAGTCATTTGTTAAAGAACTAATGCACTGAGATAATCACTTCTAGTTTCTAATACACTGATAAGCCCTCCCCTGCAGAAGCAGAGCACACAACTGTGCAAAAAGCTGACCACCACTTACCATTCAAAAGCCACCAGAGCAAAGGGATGAATCCAGGGCTCTCACTGATGTATTTCAAGCCTTTCAAATTGATGCTCACATTGTACAGGGACATCAGCATCAACCTGAAATGCAAAAGAAAATGGTATTGACATGCAGGTAAACCCACATTGTATCTCACTCTAACTCTGTCTCCTATTCCAGAGGGCCTGAACATACCCAGAGACTTTCTCCCATCTTAGATGCCCAACTCCACCTCCTGGATAGGGCATACATTAAGTTTAAAATACAGGAAGCACTACTCATCTATGTGAAGTGGGCAACTTCAGCAATGACACCACACCACCACCTCCTATAGGCTCACATTGCCAAGAGAAACAAAGCAGAGAGGATTCCATGAGAAACCTCACAAGCCATATTTCTTGATTGCTCACTCTCTTAGTACCAAACCTGCATTTGTATAGAGGTAACTATCAAGTCATAAGTGTATTGCACCTCTAAGTTCAATACAGCCATCTGATATCTAACAGCATCTTCCCATTCATTGACTATGAAGCCTGGCATCAGGCAGCCAGGTCAGCTTCCACCTGGTCTTCACAGAATCCCCATAACACATACCACAGCAAAACTTGTGAAAAAAACAAGACACGACAAGTAACAGTCAGCAAAAGGACCCACTGACAACCAGAACAAAAAAGTTCTCAGCTCCTGCAAGTATCAAATGCAAAACAGAAAACAGATGTTTCATACACGAAAACAATGAAAAGAAATTAAAACATCGCTGGGTGTGATGGTGCACACCTGTAATCCCAGCAGTTCCGGAGGCTAAAGCAGGAGGATCACGAGTTCAAAGCCAGCTCTGCAATGGCGAGGCACTAAGCAACTCAGTGAGACCCTGTTTCTAAATAAAATACAAAATAGGGCTGGGATGGGGCTCAGTGGTTGAGTACCTCTGAGTTCAATCCCCGGTACCAAAAAAAAGAAAAGAAATTAAAACATGAACAAGAAGCTAGGGCTACTATTATGAATGACTGAGCAATCCAAAAATAACAGAACACAGAAATGAATTATAAAACTGCAAAACTCAAGGGTAACTGGACACTTAGAAAATATTAAATCAAAAAACATGGTAGAAAAAAGGTGGATGACAGGACAGTGAAAATGTTCAACATTCTTCCAATTAGGATTCTGAAAAGAAAGAACAGAAAGAATGGGGGAGGAAAAAAATTTGTTTCAGAAAGATAAAGGCAAAAACTCATCCAGAAACAAGCAAATCTAAACCCTCAGATTCAAAAGGCACACAAAAAATTTCAGACAAACATAAATGCAAACCTAAACATCACAATTCAACCACAGATCACCAAAGATTTTACAGCAGCCAGAGAAAAGACACATGACCTACAATGGGGCAAGTGCACTGAACTTGTGCTCTTGACAACAAAAACGGGAACCAAAGACAGGAAGAGCACAGCTTCCAAGTACAGAGGCACTTACAGCAGATTTAGAATTGTAAACCCACCAAAAGCAGTTTCAGCAAATGAGGTTAAGTAAAAATATTACCAAAGAAAACCTCAGAGATGTTACCACCAACAAACCTGAACTAAAAGAATTTGAAGAACAGACTTCAGAAACTAAGAAAATGATCTCAGAAGATCTCTGTGAGCTATAAGGAAAAGCAGCAAATGAAGGGAGGTGTGGGTCCAGGAAGTCAGCACTGGAGGCAAAGGCAGTAACAACAACGTCTAGAGGGTGCAACTCCGAAACTCCTCCAACAGAGCCGGGTGCAGGCACAGAGGCATGCAGCCCAAGACACGGGTACTACAGCATTCCAAAGTCCTTCATCAACCAGGACAGGAGAGAGGCATTAATGCTTTCAGGTGTGTAACAAAGCACAATTTTAAAGGGCTTATCACTAAAAAAAAAAAGAGAGGTAACTTTCAAGATCCTTGGAAAGATAACATACGTCAAAAAAGATCTCAGTGAATTCCACAGAAGAAAAAAGGAAGGAAGGAAAGTGGGAGGAAGGGAATAAGGGGTTGGAGAGATTAGAAAAAGAACTCAGAAAAAAAGTCATAATAAACAGAAACAAAACATGGACAAAATAAACATAAACCCAAGAATCTCACTAGCTGCAAATATCAATGGGATATTCCTAGTAAAAGGCACAGATGAGTGACTATTACACTAGATGAGACACTAAATCAATGATCTTTTTTGTTTGTGTGTGTGTGTGTGTGTGTGTGTGTGTGTGTGCTGCTGGGGATTGAACCCAGGGCTTTGTGCATACAAGGCAGTCACTCTACCAACTGAGCTAGATCCCCAGCCCAAGACACTAAATCTTATAAGCTTGTACTGCAGACTCTCAGAAGCCAAAGGGGAGAGTGAGTCCACTGATCTCTGGGCAAAGCTAACGGCCCACTGGGACAAGCACCAATTCTCTTTATCTGAGAAAAAGACAGCAGAGCCCAGAGTCCCCACAATGTTTAGTACACAGACCATCAAAAATGTAACTGGCAGAGACAACTAGGAAGTGGAAAAGGAAGGCACTTACTTTGGGCACAAATTTAAGGGGCTGAGAAACATATTCAGTGGCCATGGTTTTTTTGGTTTTTTTTTTTTTTTTTTTTTTTTTTTAAAGAGAGAGAGAGAATTTTTTTAATATTTATTTTTCAGCTTTCGGCGGACACAACATCTTTGTTTATATGTGGTGCTGAGGATCGAACCCGGGCCGCACGCATGCCAGGCGAGCACGCTACCGCTTGAGCCACATCCCCAGCCCCAAAGATAAAATAATTCATTATTTTTTTAAAATCCAAATTAATGTGCCAGATGTGGTAGTACATGTCTGTAATCCCCATGACGCAGGAGGCCTGAGACACAATGATCACAAATTGGAGGCCAGCCTGAGCAACTTAGTGAGACCCTGTCTCAAAAAAATCAAAAGGAGGGCTAGGGTGGCTCAGCAGTAGTAAGCTCATCTAGCACGTGAAAGGCCCTGGGTTTGATCCTCAGCACCACATAAAAATAAATCAATAAAATAAAGGCATTGTGTCCAACTACAACTAACAAAATAAATATTAAAAAAAAAGGTCAAAAGGGGTCTGGGGTTGTGGTTCAGTGGTACAGCACCTGCCCAGCATGTGTGAGGCACCGGGTTCAATTCAACACTGCATATAAATAAATGGATAAAATAAAGGTCCCTCAACATCTAAAAAAAAAAATTTTAAAATCAAAAGGACTAGGGATATGGCTCAGTAGTTAAGCACCCCTGAGTTCAATCCCCAATACCTCCAACAAAACAAAAATAAATAAATAAATAAAATTAATGCAAAAATTCCATAACAAACACTATAGCAAATTTTCAAATAAAGATGGAATTGATAACAGTACCATGCCAGGAAATCAGTAATACTGATCCAGTCTACTAATAAGAGACTAAGTAAGTGAACTGCATGCCACAGAAAAGTTGAGTCTTTTGCTAAGGTGTCTAGTTTCCCCACTAAACTCAAGTTTGTCAGAAGCAAGCTCATTACTTATTTTTACCATCTCACAGATAAGTACACTAAGACAGGACACAGTAAATCCCCAGCTCAGTACCAGACAGTGAATCAGCACCGCTGACCAAGAGACTTAGCAGGCACAATGCACAGACAAGGCACCCTCTCCCCCAGACTTCCATTTTCAAAGTCAACAGCCACAATCAACAGAAAAGACAAAGCTACACCAGCAGCCTAGAGGAAGGGATTCTCAGTCCTCAAGGTGTGAGGACCCTCAGCCCTCTGACAGGTTACAAAACAAGCCAAACTGGAAGTCCCCCCTTCAGGTCTCACTGATGACTTTTATAGGTAACCCAAAGTTACTCACTAGTAACTAATTTACTAACTAACTTGAGGCAGTATTAAGGGCTGCTCAGATGAAGCGCTCATGAGGAGAATTTGGTACTATGACTAATTTTCTGAGATCTCTAAGCAGTAATTCCAAGAAGGGAAAGGCCCCTACTTCAGATCATAAACACAGCTGGAGGTCCACAAAGGCAAAAGTATCATTCATGGCAGGCTACAACAGCAGGTCTAAGATACTGCACCAGAGACCAAAAGGCCCACAAAGCCCAAGATATTTTTTATCTAACCCTTTACAAAAAAAAAAATCTGCCCACTTCTGATTTACAGAACGAAAAAGACAAATCAATCTTCTCTAGAGGTCAAAAGGCAAAGTTACTATCTGGTGATAACTGTAACATGAAACAAACCTCAGAAAGTAAGTTCAGCTCCATTGTCATTTAGCTTTAGGGTGCGAAAACCAACTCACGAAATGACAAATGTCTTTAAAATTTCATATCTGATCAAAACTCATTAATCTTAAGAAGCTAATGTAACTGAGGCAAACATAGTACCATCTGAGACCCCACATCACCAGGTCACACCTCTCAGAAGACCACTAACCTCTAGGTCACAAAGAAGCTGGCAGAACACAAACCCAGAATGTGTTTTTTGTGCATGTGCTTTCTCTATATGACACTTTCAATGTAACCAAAAATGTCTGTAAATAATGCATCAAGTTTCTACCTGTCAAGTCAAAAGAGACTGCCATCCAAACCACCCTTCTTGTATTCAGATATTAAAAGCAGACTTCTTTTCCTGTCAGGATTTCTGATGTGTTTACTAAAATTCTTTGGAAACACAATCATGTTTAAAGATTCTTTTCATTTGGCGTCAAATCAGTCCTTGCGTAAAGAAGGGGTGAGAATACCAAAAGGCACAGAGAGATTTGGGACAGCTTTTGACAGACAGCAAACATGGGTGACCATAACCCATAAAACAGAAAAGACAAAGCTACACCAGCAGCCTGGACAGGGGGGATTCTCCGTCCTTAGGTGTGAGGACTGAGTGAGCAGCTGACCCCACTGATCACACTGCACTCCCAGGCCCTCCCTGGGTACCAAGCCTGAGGACAGAGAACTGTGCAAAAACACAGCAGTGCTGCCCAGAATGGCAAGGCATGAGGAAGAAGCAAAGCACACTGGACACGGAAAGGCCTGGGCTTTGTATCTGCCTCTCCATGACTGCTTCTATAATACTGCCACTCCCCTAGGGCATTTTGAGGAAACACTTCTAGAAGCATCTTCAACTAATACCGACCTCTTCTCTCTGGGAATTCCTTGGACTCTTCTCTGCAGACAGTTTGATGTGGACCCCAGAGTATGCTGATGGGTCGTCATAACACAACAGGGAGGTTTTGAAAAGGCCTCAGAAGAGCCAGTGGAAAGAAACCTGAACATGCTGACTTAAACACAACCCCAGAGGACAGCCAACTAAAAGCAGGGAGGGAGAGCTGTTCACAGACATATACATGCTCCACATACTTCTCCTGACACAAGAGAGAAGAGAGAGGGTAGGTGGGCACAAGGGAGGAAGCCACCAGGGTGAGTCAGCCCATACTCACACTCACTGTCCTCTGCATGCATTTGACACCCATCTATCAAGAAGATGTAGCAGAGATGAATTGGAGCTCACCCAGAGTGCCCCAAGTCTGCCTTGACTCTGCAGAAACAACAGTAAGAACAAAACAGGATCCAAAAAGTGCTGAGCCCCAGGAGAGGGTGAAATAACACAAATCCACACATTTGGGGACCTTCTTAAGCATCACATAGCAGTCCTGGTGATAGGGAAGGAGAAAGTAGATGACTGACCTGGCTCAAAGTTGAACCTGTGTAGAGATGGGATGCATGCACAGGGGTAGATGGTGTGATGAGGAGGCAGAGGGACTGAGGGGCAGGCTGAACACACAGCAGTGTTGACTACCTCAGGGCAGCTAGGTCACAAGAGCACCAACCACAGTAAAGACCACATCAGATCTGGGGAACCAAAGAAGGCAAGAGACCTGGAGTCAGATTGCTAAAGGAATCATCCCCCAGGATGTTCCAGACACTGGAGATGGAATCCAGGAGGAGGAAACTAATAAGTCAATCCTTTATAAAAGAAAGGAAGTGCCTTGATGGTCAGAAAAGAACAGTGATGAGGGCTGGGGTTGTGGCTCAGTGGTAGAGAGCTTGCCTCACATGTGTGAGGCACCGGGTTCAATTCTCAGCAGCACATATAAATACATGAATAAAAAAAGTCCATCAACAACCAAAAAGAAAATACTAAAAAAATTTAAAAAGGACAGTGATGAGAAAGGATGTGGAATTGGGAAGGTACTGGGGGATGAAATTCATCTCATTATGTTATGCATTTATACAAATATGGCATAATGAATCCCACTGGTACATATAATGCACCCATAAAAAATAAAAATAAACTTTGAAGAAAGGATGAATGTGCAGATAACTGGTTGCTTGAATTTGGGAGGAGAATTTTTTCATGAGTAGAAGAGAGATGGCCTTTAGAAAGCCAGCAACTAGAGAAAGCTAACTCCATCTCAGTCTGAGGCACCAGCTGCTAAAAAGGAGTGGAGCAGAGTAAGCTTCAGTTTAGGCAAGGCAGGAGAGGCCCAGTAAAGCCACTTATTTACAGCACAGCAAAGGTCCTGTTCCAGAGGGCTCAAGGTAGGGGGTCAGCAGTGCAGGTGATGGTCAGGAGAAGAGACACCCTGGAAAAGAGAGAGGCAACCAATCAAAGCACAGATCAGGAGGCTGCCAACCACTAGCAGGAAGATGTCACAGGATGGTGCTGCCATCTGCATGCAACACTGGCAGTCTGCTGAGAAAGAAAGTAAATGGCTTGGCAGGCAATTCCTCCCAAGCCCACTGCAATCGACAGGAGCTTACTAGAACCCAAAGACACAGAACTCCAAGGACTAGACCCCAGAGGCTAGCAAGGACCCAACCCTGACACAAAGCCTCACCTTGAAGCTGCAGGGGGGCCCCTCAACACCGACCCTGTAGAGACCACGGAAGCAAAGAGGGCAAGGAAGGGATCAGCATCCAGAACCAGGAACTGCAGCTTATAATTATGAACATGAGACACAACAGGAAATGGACAGAGGGCATGGGCAGGTGACTCAGGGAAAGCCTAAACAGTGAGGACACTGAGGACTCTCACTGAGAGGGAAGAGGCAAGAGGCAGGAGACAGTATGACAGACAACATAAATACTCTTTATGGGATACAACATTGGAGCAGTGACAAGGACACGGGGCAGACACACTGCAGGTGGAAGTATGCACACAGACAGCATTGCACAGTACTGAAGATGGGAATGGTCTGCTTCTCAAACACTACACTTCTAAGAAAACCCTTGATGGACTCACACAGGTTAGCCAGGAGATACCTGCCAAGGGTGCAGCATTCCAGCTGCAGAGTAAAACCTGAGAACACCGAATGCCCTTCGGTCAGGGAAAGAATGACCCAAATGTTATCTCTGCTTTTGGTATGACATTAGGTACCTAAATGAGATAAACTAGATCCACGGGCCATTTGTAAAACTATCGCCAAAACAAAACTATACATACGTACGTGCTATACTGTAGTACACATATTGCTCATGTGCATAGATGTGTTATACAAAACAATAAATTAACTGAAGTCTGGTCCAAACAGCATGGCATAAGCTCACTTGTTTTTACTAAATATAGCTACAAATTCTGAACAGAACACATGGAGCAGCTACTTGAGGTCTCTGAAAAGTAAACAGTAAAAGGAAGATTGGGGAAAAAAAATTTGAAGGCTCAAAAAAAACAGCAGCTGCCCTGGCCGGGACTCTGGCCCCAAACCCAGCAGCAGCACTGCCCCATAGTGCAGCAGGACAAAGTCTTTGATTCAGGCCAGAGGAAAGAGAAAGGGGTCTGCTATCAGCCTTGTGATAGCCGTGGGAGCCCCTAGGCAACTCACTCAGCAAAAAGGGACTCTTCCCATCCCTGAAGGATCAGCGCCCCCCCTGCTGAGCAGCTGTGGGCAGAGTGGCAGGGGCGGCAGCAGCAGGAACACACAACAGGGCACACCAAGCCCCAGCTTTGCAGGGTAGAAGCTGAAAGAGGGAGTCCTAGGTAACCACACAGTTTAAAAGGCATTGTGAAGAGGTAGGGGCTCAGGAAAGTGACTCCACAAAGGTGTAACTCCTGTCCTCTCCCCAAGATATGTGCTTGTGTGGATCTCATTAAAAACAGCCCCCCCCAAAAAAAAAAAAAAAAAAAACAGCCCCTAAAGGACTCAAAGAAAAGAGGGACCATCCAGCACACACACACAAGGGTGCTAGAAAGACTGCTTTGTCTTATGTTGTGCTGATATTCAGATAAAGGCGTTTTAGAATCAGGAGTCAGTGAATGCAGCACAAAAAGGCCTTTGGCTATACCTTGCAACTCAAACCTAGCTGGGTGACTGCATTTTCTAAATGGTTTAAGTTAGGCCCAGAGTCTTGTACCACAATGTCCCAAATGCTCAGGATGAACGCAAAATAACTCAGCATACAGAAACAGGGAGATCCAAACTCAGAGAGGAAAAAGACAATCGAGGGACACCAAAACCAGGATGACAGAGATGCTAGAAGTATCTGGAACAGATTTTAAAGAAGCTATCATTAAATTTAAATTTTTTTTAAAAAGTCAGCCTTAGCAATTTGGTGAAACCCTGTCTCAAAACAAAAAATAAAAAGAACTGGGGACATAGCTCAGTAGTAAATTGTCCCTGGGTTCCATCTCTAGCACACACAAAATAAAAACTCCACTAAGTAACAGTACATGCTGGTGTGGCCAGCAGAACCCTAAAATGGCCCCGTCCTCCCTGGGACTATAAATATACCATACCCTGAGATTATATTAAATTATCTGGCAAAAGGGGCTGTGCAGGTATAATTAAGGTTGCTAATTAGCAGACTAAGTTAATTAAAAATGGTTTATCCAGGTATTCCTACTTTAAACACATGTCAGTCAAAGGCAGCGTATCATCATCTGGCTGGGATAAATGAGGAATCTGAGCAACTTCAAGAGTAAGGTAATAATGAGTTATATGGCTCAAAGCTGGGGGCCACAGAGAAAGAACGCAGCCAGCCTGGGTAGGATTCAGCCAGCAGCCTGCAGATGTCTGAAGTAGATTCTTCCCCAAGCCTCTGGAAGGAATCCAGCCAGGCACCACCTGGATTTCAGCCCCATGAGACCCCTAAGCAGAGAATGCAGTCAAGCCCGCTCAGACTTCGGACCTACAGAACTATGAGATAATAAATAAGTGTTGCTTTACCTACTTACTTTGTCATAATTTGTTAGACAATAGAACATAAATACAGATTTTGGTACCTGGAAATAGGATACTGTCATAACAAATACCTACTGAAGTTCATTTTGAGACCATTCATATAACTCTGAAGTGTCACTTGATAGTATTGAGGACTCACTGATTATTCTAAGGTGAGGACATTCTTTTTTCTTAATTTATTTTTCTAAAATACTACTTAAGTATAGTGCACCCCTTAAATTCTCCAGGCAACTTATTTCTTCTATTTTTTAGAATGATTACCAAATCAACTATTTACTTGAAGAGAGGCCAAATCAGCATATTCTAGGTAACATGTAAAATCAATAGGAATTATTAGCTATTATCTACATACACTTTAAGTTTGGTGCATTGTCCGGGCTTCAAGTCCCCCAGCAGCTGCAACATCGTGTCCAAGAGCACCCTACTGGAATTAACCAAGAATTCACGACCACATGCTATTGCAGCAACATCTGCAACAGAGACGAAACAAAGCGTCAAGATGATACATGCTTCAGAATCTGCAAAATTCTGTCCAGATCGAAGACCTGTTGCTGTTTTTCCTCCTAGGAGAACTAAGGAAAAGAGCTGATGAGGCATTAAAAACCACTGTTGTTCACAAAGCGGTCATCCCAGCACCAAGGACAACCACCTGAGTTAGTAAAGCAGGGAGCAATGTCCCCCCCAGCAACACCTCCACTGCTTGAGCACCTTGCCCCATAGCAGAGATTGCTGGCTATCAGATCTAAACACAAGGTGGGGGTTCATGACAGTCCTGAGTCTGAACATTCTAAAATTCACTTTTACTCCTGTGAGCATTTTAACTATGGCACAAAACTAAAATAATATGAAAATTGATTCTGAATATATTTTTCCAAAACGTTATAGTCTGTTGTGATCAGTAAGCATGTTTCTTCATGCCTGAGTCCCAGCCAATCAGCACAGAGACCAGACCAAGTCGTTACACAGGGTCCAGGGGCTAATGCTGGCCCTGTCAACATCCCCAAATACCTGTGACCCAAGTACATGATGTACCTATGCAAAAGAGTTGTCTTTAGTTAGGACTGACAATAAAGCAAATTCAAAGTGACTAAGAGCTGTACATGGGATGAGCAAGCCAGGGAGAAGCCAGGCAGCACCCTTGTCTTTCTCCTGGCTCTAATGGGATGTTTTAGAAGTCCACAGTTAAGTGGGATGTCTCCTCTGCTGCTGGTAAATATCCTTTACCAGTTTAAGGAAGTTTTCTTCTATTCTTAGTTTGCTAAGAATAATAAAAAATGGAGGAAGAATTTTATACTTATCCTGCCTTCGATTAATCATAATCTGACTGCAAAATATAAAATTTCATTGATGCTACCACATCAACTGTACAGAGTCAGATTTTTCATGTTCCTGTTTATTTTGTTTATCTGGGTTGAGAAGAACCATGTGAGGTATATAGGAGAACTAAGGAAAAGAGCTGATGAGGCAATCTCCAAATCTACCTGTAACTTTTCCCATTTCTCCTTGTATTTCCAGCATTTTGGCCTCATAATTGCTATGTCACTTGGTACATAACTTCACAATAGCCCTAACTTTATCAAGGACAAAACCATTCCTTGACATAAACTTACCTTCTGTGTTTAATTCATTTTAACCTATCAACTGTATTATCTAGCCAGTGATACATTCCAGCTTTACTAAGGAAATATTTTTTAAGGGAAAATGAAGCAGTTAAGCATTTGGCATTATTAGTATACAGAAGGGAAATCTAAGGAACTTTTCAAGGAGAAGCAGCATTCAGGAAAGCCCAGAAGACTGCCATCAAAACCCACCAGGAACCATCAGCCAGCCGTAACTCTAGTAGCTAGCCCACAAGGACGTCTTCTCGATAAGCCATTCCCCAACATAAAGAGCCGAGGTGTCCCTTCTACTGTGACTCACTTGTAACCACAGAACACAGCAGAATTAATGCTGTGTACCCATCACTAGGTAGGATGAAGCCTCATGTTCCCACCTTGGTCCCTTGTCCACTTGCTCTAGGAGCCTGCACTACCTGGGGCTGCTATGATGAAGAGACTACACAGAGAGAGGACACTGATGTGACCCAGAGATACCACAAGGTTAGAGAGAAAAAAGACACCCACCAGCCCTCACTGTCCCACCCTACAGCAGCTTGAGACATCCCAGCTGAGGGCTTAGATATTAGAGAGTAGCAGTAAATTTTCCTGCCCAGTCCTGATCAAGTAAAAGAAATTTTGTTAATGTTAAGACTTGACATTTTGGGGCGGTTTGTTACATAGCAATAGTAAAACAGGAACACTACTACTTCATCACTGAAAATAAATAGCAGAGCAAAAAAAAAAAAAAAAATATTATCATAGCAGGCAACAATTCCCAACACACCAAACTTTCTGGCAAATGAGGTCCCATATCATATTCAGTACTGTAATAGCAAATACCAATTTTGCATTTCACTATATCATATGAATAATTAAGCACAAACCGAAGCATAAAATCTGAATAAACTTCTACAAATAGTAAGTACCAAGATTCATCAACCTGTCAGAATTCACATTTATCTTACATCATAGTTGGCACTTTATTTACCAATATCTAATCTGTCTGGAATACTTACCTGTGAGTCAACTCAAGACCTATAGAATTGACTATTGTCATCCACCATAAACAAAGAACTGGTTTGATTTTCTATTAAAATGTTTTTCTCTTGATTCATTTTCATTAAAATGTTTTAAATCTAATTCTAGAGATTACTGTAGTGATTATATAATTTTAAAAAGTCAGTCTGATGTAAGGTATAAATACTGAAAAGATATGTAGATTGAGATGTATTATGCTGAATATTTTTGCTTTGGGTTGTAATAATCTTTTCAGCAATAAAGATAATAAGAGAGGGGCTGAGATTGTGGCTCCACGGTAGAGCACTTGCCTAGCACAGGCGGGACCCAGGTTCGATCCTCAGCACCACATAAAAATAAAGGCATTGTGTTGTGTCTTGTGTCCATCTACACCTAAAAAATAAATATTTAAAATAATAATAAGAGAGTACTAGTATAATGATAGACACACCAATCAATGGCAGAATTGAAGGTTCCAAGATAAACCTTACATTTAAGGCCAATTAACTCTCCACAAGGATGCCACAACAATTCTGTGGAGAAAGGATAAAAGAATAATCTTTTCGACAAATGCATGTGCACAGGTACTAAGCCAGATCCCTTCCTCCACTATAAAAAATTAATTCAAAATGTATCAAAGACCCAAATGTAACAGCTAAAACTATAATAAATTCTTACAAAGAAAAACAGGAGTAATATCTTATGACCTTGAATTAAACAATGTTTTGTGAATTGTGAATTGCTGCCAAAGTTGCTATAAACAGCTAAACCCACTCCGACCTCTCTCAGTTTCCTCTTGCAAAGAAAGCCTGAGACAGGACCTCTCCCAAATCTGGAGAGAAGTGAAGGGGGCAAGGCAGGGGCAGGACGGGAGAAGTCAGGGAGTGTGCGAAGGTGGACCAGAGGCAAACACCAGGGACATCCATCTCTGCCCCACCCCTAGAGGCCACAAGAACATCAATGAAAGACCAGGTGTCCTAGAGACGTTTCAGGCCTTCCTGCAGTAAAGCATCTGCTTTCCACCAAACTGGGTCAAGGTCCCTTGACTCTGCCTTCTGGGCACACAAACCCTGAGCCAAGGAGCCTTTGATGGCAGCCACCAGCTTCAGAGACTTGCTCTCCATAGCCATTATCTCTCAGAGTGAACTAATTTCCCAACTACCAGAACCCAGTGAGCTAGAGAGTCCCTTGCAGCAGAGGTACAGGTAGCTGGGGAATTCATCTTCTAGTCTCTCCCTGAATTAGAGATACCTGGGCTTGTAGCCTCAAATGCCATAGTACTCAGGCTGCGAGAGTCATGATCAGGATCTCTGCATCCACAGCAAGTGGAACCTGGAGTTGGGTACCACCCCGCTGAGACTCAGATTAAGGCTTTTTGAAACAGGAGTCACTGACCTAACTGAGATCCACAGATGCACAACATTTGTGACAATGGTTTCTTAATGACACCAAAAGCATGAGCAACTGAAGGAAAGATAAACTGGATATAATCAAAAATAAAAAGTTTGTGTTTCATAACACACTTTTGAGAAAGTAAGAAGAACTCACAGAATCAGAGAAATATCTGCAAATCATATATTCAACAAGGCACTAATATCTAGAATATACACAGAGCTCTTACAACTCAATAATTAAAAAGAAGTCCGATTTAAAAACAAGCAATGGAGTTGAACAGATATTTCTCACAGGAGATATTGCAAATGGACAATGAGCACATGAGAAGATGTTCTCAACATCATCAGCCACCATGGCTATGAAAATCAAAACCACAATCATACACCACTTTATATCCACTAGGATAGCAATAATCAAAAAGTCAGATACTAAATGTTGGGAAGGATATGGAAAAACTGGAGCCTGCACATGCTGCTGGTGGGATTGTAAAGTGGTATAGCCACTGTGGAAAAATAGTCTGACAATTCTTCAAACAGTGGAACTGACCCAACAATTCCACTCATAGCTATATACTTAATAAGAAAAAACACATGAAAATATACCCACACAAAAATCTGCACAAACATATCTGTACAATCCTTATTCAGAATAACTGAAAAGTGGAAAGAACCCAAATGTCCATCAATTGATGTATGGGCAAACAAAATACAGAATACTCATTCATTGGAATATTATTCATCCACGAAAAGGAAGAAAGCACCGATATGTACTACAATGTGAATGAACTTCAAAAATATCCTGTCAAGTGAAATAAGCCAGACCAAAAAGAGCAAATGAAGGGTCACACACTGCATGATTTCATTTATAGAACCAAAACAGGCAAATCTATAGAGATAAAAGCTTGATTTTTGGATGCCCATGCTGAATGCCAGTCAGATTCTCCAGGCTGAGGCCCCATGCAGATATCTGAAAACGTCCAGAAAGGTCACACCCAACTGTCACCACCTCTGCACATAACAGCCACTAAGTTTGAGAAGAATCACTTACTTGTTACAATTCCAGCCAAAGCAAAAACAAACTGATTTTCATCAGAATCGAGCTCCTTGACATCCCCATCCAGTGACTTCACAAAACTTTCCATTGTTTGGCCAGTGATGCGGAAAAACTTCAAAGCTTTATCCTGAAATTTTGGAAATGGAAGTGTCACATCTTTTCCCAGATACTAGTGTAGAAACATTTTTAAAGTGCAAGATACAAAAAAACCCTAGTTTTAATTATAGAAGCTATATTTAAAAGTCTATCCCTCTAGTCAGAAATGATGGTACAAACCTGTAATCCCAGCAACTCAGGAGGCTGAATCAGGATTGCAATTTTAAGGCAAACCTTGGCAACTTAGTGAGACATTCTCAAAATGTATTTAAAAAAGGGGGGGGGGGGCCTGGGGATATAAATAACTCAGTGATAAAATGCCCCTGGGTTCAATCCCTTGTATTTAAAAAAAAAAAAAAATTACCCCTCCACTGAAAGTTCAGAGAAAACAGTTTGGGGGAAGTGAAAACAAGAAAAATAACCCTGAAGACTCATCGAAAGATATTTATAGATCAATATGAAATAAAGGAAGTTAACACAATGACGAGAGAATTAAGACCAACCAACTGACTCAAAACCATAATGGAGGGCTGGGGTTATAGCTCAGTGGTAGAGCGCTTGCCTAGCACATGAGGGTTCAATCCTCAGCACCACATAAAAATAAAAGTTTTGTGTTCATCTATAACTAAAAATATTTTTAAAATAATAATAATGGAAACCAAGTAAGGTGGCACATGCCTATAATCCCCAGCTATTCAGGAGGCTGAGGCAGCAAGATCAGAAGTCTGAGGCCAGCCTGGACAACTTAGCAAGATCCTGTCAAAAAAAAAAAACTGTCTGAAAATAAAAAATAAAAAGGGCTGGGGATCTGCCTCAATGGTAGAGCACTTGCCCAACATGTGCAAGGTCCTGGGTAACCAAAGGAACTTCTTGGGTGATTAAAAGAAATATGCTAAGGCTATACTATGGTGGTCTCAAAGTTAGTTTTCTAAAAACCATGAATCACACAATGGAAATCATACCGTACATACTCAACACACTTTTTGAAATATATTCTCATCTCTCTGCCTAAAGTCAAACACCACTATTTCTGTAAGTGCTAAGTAACACACTTCTGGTTCCCTGCCAAAGGCCCCCGTCCCCCTTGTTCCCTCTGTGCCCAATCCATCCCCAGGTCTAGCCCCACGCTCCATGCTATACTCTTTCCCTCAGCTGTCAGCTCTGCCTCAACCACACAGTTCTCACCTGGGACTCTTTCTATCTCCTCCAAAGGGGGTATGCTAATCTTCCTGTCCTATCCAAAGCTCCACCACTCCATCTTCTGACCTGTCTTCATTCACTACCAGTTAATCTTCCTAAAATTCTACTCTTGTCCTATCACTCTTATACTCAAAACCCTTTGAGAACCTAGTCCTCCTACCTGTAAGGTAAACTCATCACCCTGGTATCTCAGGTCACAAAACCACATTCCAACCTACCTGGAAAGCCTTATCTCCCACTACCCTCCACTGCATCAACTGACCTCCTCACTGTCCTACAACAGACAGACTTCTGATCCCATGTCTTTGATTACACTGGCTCTGTCGTCTTGAGCTGCCCTTCCCATTTTCTGCCATCTCTATTCATCAAAGCCCATTTCAAATTCTCTCTGGAGATTTCCCAATATACAGATACATAAAAAATGTATACAAAATTTCTAAACACACATACACCCATGATAATTAACATAACATATACAATATTCAAAAAATTAAGTACTCCATTATCCATGAGATAAAATACATAAAAGAACTTTAACCTTGTTAAGCTCTTCACATATCAAATGACCATACTGAAGTGGTATGCCCGTGGGTGCCAGGAGACAAAGAGATCATGTTTCATCATATCAGATGTCTCCAGAGCACCAAGTTACAAGGGACACTACACAGTAGGTATGTGATGACTAAGAATGCAGCTAAAGCAAATGGACAGCAGCATAGATTCAGTCTCTAAATGTTCTGTCTCCTCCAAGTCACACGAGCACATTCAAACAATACCCGGACAGCCACTGGCCATGCTTACTCCTCCCAGAATGGCTTTGACAACTTCCTCGCTGCTGGAGACACCCCACAGGAGGGTGCAGGTGGCCGCTCCCATTTCTGTACAATATTCTGCCTGCTGTAGGAGCTGCTGCTTTGCTTCATTCAGCTGCTGTCGAAGAGCCAGCTTCTCCTAAATTCACAACAAAATGAAATCAGAAAAACAGACACTAGCATTTGACTTCAAAATTCCTCTTCACAGATATTTTTAAAGAAATGCATGCAGAATCATAGAAAAAAACAGCAAATGAAAACTAGTCCTGAAAGAGTTGCAATCCACATCTAAAAGATAAACTCAACAGTCCTAGAAAAAAACATACTACTGCATTACAGTTTATAAATAACCCAAAGATAAACTAACTGCTTTAAGTGAAGTGAAAACAGGAGGCAAAACTCAAGTCCCAAGTGTCCACAATGAGAACAGCATCACAAGGATGTCTGAGCAAAGTAGCAACCTGAAGTTCAAGCCACTGCCATTAAGAGTGCTACTGCCTCCCAATGGCTCACTCCACTAAATACCACCTGCCAGAGCAGACACTGAGGTAAAGGTACTCATTCATCCAAATGGACTTGAGGAATATGAGCACCATAAAAAGATTGCTTCCAGGCAAACGCATCCGCAAATCCTCATGAGAATATGATCAAGGTGCTGGTGAATATGAAATACACACCAGTAAAGCCAAACAAGGAACAAATACCAGAGCTAAGAGCAGGCAGGAAAGCTACAGCACAGGCGAAGGAGGGAAAGTAAAGGTGGGTGTCCCACAGACACCCTGGCACCATGCAGTGTACCAAGACAGCAAAGACCAGGAGATGGTTCTTACCCTCCCTCCAGTCTCTGCCAGGCTCTCTTCAAAGGGAAAGACAGGGAGCTACCCTCCTGATGGACCCTGACCACATAAGCATGCCTCAAGTATTTACCTTTGGGTAGGCCAGAGCTGATGCAGGGCTTCCTGCCCTCGCCAACAAGTAGCACCAGGTCCATACTTCCCTGATGGCTGGAATTCCCTTAAAAGATGACAGCCTTTTCTGATTTAAAAGAGAAACTGACCTGGGAGTGTGGTTCAACAGTAGTGTACTTGCCTAGAATGCATGAGGCCTGAGTTCAACCTCTAACACCAAAAAAAAGAGAGAGAGACAGAAACTAAAAAAATATAAAAACCTGGTTAAATTCATTTACACCAACATAATTAAATAAGCCATAAAATTAAGGTATATTGGATGTGTTAGGTTTCTTTTAGAGACGTAAGCACAGGCCAACTAAAGGAAAAGGGCTTTTCACCTGGGAGAGAAAAGGGAACCAACCTGTGGCATGAGTCAAATACTTCTGACCTTAAAACTTTCCATCAGGTGGTCCACTCCTATTCACCTAAAGACCACACGTCTGTACACAGAGACTCATACACAGTCACACAGATATACACACTAATTTTAGGACAAACATGATCACTGAGCCTATGACAGAAGCTAATGCTGCTTAATGTCATTTATAAACCCTGGAGCTTTCATGCTGGGCTTTATCCTAAAGCAGTCTAGATTTTAGACTTCAGGTGTATGTCACTCAAGTTATGGAGACACACACAAAAATTCTATCTATCTGGATTTCTAGTTTTTCTCACAATTAAAGCAGTCTGCATTCCAATAAGTCTGCTTTTGGCATTTCTTCCACAAGACCACAGAAGAACCACTGAGATGAGAAAGCAGGACTGTCCCCGCATGGTCACATTATGACAGCTGAGGTGATATAATCCAGCACAGGGCTAAACACATAGTACAACATCAAAAGAAACTCAAAGAACCCAGCCAGGCATGGTGTTACAGTCCTATAATCTCAGCAAGTCGCTAGACTGAGACAAGAGGATTACAAGGTTCAAGGCCAGTCCAAGAAACTTAGCAAGACTCTGACTCAAAATAATTTTTTTTTAAAAAGTCTGGGGAATAGCTCAGTGATAGAGCACTTGCCAAAAACATGTAAGGCCTCGGTTTCACTTCTGAGTACCATAAAAAGACAGAAAGAAAAAAATTCAAACTCATGTTTAAAAAAAATCCAATTAGAGCATGTGCAAAAGACATGAAGAAACATTTCAGAGAGGAGAAAACACAGACAGCCAACAAGCACAGGAAAAGACATGCCATTCACCATTGGGATATACAAATTAAAACCACAGCACACCTAACAGAATGTCTACAAGAAAAACCCAGGCATGGTAACATGTACCTGTAGTCTCAGTTACCTGAGAGGCTGAGGCAGGAAGATCCCTTATGCCCAGGAGTCTGAGAATAGCTCAAGCAACATAGCAAGACCCATTCTCGGGGGGAAAAAAAAAAGGATGGCTAAAATTTAAAAAAAAAATAGTGATAACACCAAATGTAGGTTAGGAATGTGGAGAATGTGACTCACTCATACATTGCTGGCCATAATATATAAATATATAATCATGCGGCCACTCTGGAAAACAATTTGGCAATTTCTTACAAAACTAGTCATGCACTTACCATATGACAAAACAATTATACTCTAAGGCATTTATCCAGAGAAATGAAAATACATATTCATACAAAAACTCATAGGAATGTTCCTAATACCCTTATTAGTGTCAACAAAAAAATCGGAAACAATCTGGATTGTGCTTCAATGGGGAATAATTTTAAAAACTGTGACATATCAACACCATGGAACATTATGAATATAAAAGAACTAACTATTGATACATGCAACAACTCAGATAGATGTGAGCAAAAATACCAATCTCAATTGTCACTTAGTATGTGATTCTATTTTTTGGACAGTCTTGAAAAAAATAAAGCAATGAGATGAAAAATGCATTGGCGACTGCCAGGAGCTGGGCATAGGGAGGGGGTGGGTGTGGTCACAAGTGACAGGACAACTGGAGCCTATGGTGAAGGAATAGTTCCGATGGTTATATAAATCTACAGATGTCCTGAGATTGCACAGAACTACATTCACATGCGCACACACAAATAAGTATGCACGAAACTGGTGGGATAGAAAGTCTATGAAAAACATGTGAGCTTGAATAAGGTGTGTGGATTACATCAATACAAATTTCCTGCTTTTTATAGTTACGCAAGATATCACTGGAAGAACTAGAAGAAGGACATAGGGACCTCCCCTGGACTTTTTGTAACTACCTGTGACAGCTGCCAAAGAGAAATGGCCTAGTTCTAGGAAACTTGCAGGGGCTTCCATCTGTATTAAACAGAAAACTCAAAAACAGAAAATATTTTAAGCTAAAATAGTCTCATATTTTAACTAAGGTCAAAGTACCACAACAGTAACAGTACCCTGATGATCTGAAAGTAGTTTACAAGGCTCATTTCATCCTTTGATACCAGCATTTACTGGAATGACTTATTTTAATCATTACATTTGGAACGCCAGCAGAACATCCACTTTTTATATGACTACTGACTTTTTAAAAAGGAAATCTATCCCAGATGTGGTGGTGAACACCGGTAATTCCAGAAATTCAAGAGTTCAAGGTCAGAGGATTGCAAATTTAAGGCTAGCCTCAGCAATTTAGTAAGACCCTGTCTCAAAATAAAAAGGGCTATGGATGTAGCTCAGTGTTAAGTGTCCCTGGGTTCAATTTCCAGTACCAAAAAAAAAAAAAAAAAAAAGAAAGAAATGTAAGACTCTGCTCAATCTAAGCTTCGGCTTTAACAAGGCATCTCAGCAATTTACGGAAGGACAGGACTAATGAAACTACACTTTTTACATATATCAAATTCTTTCTTGCCTGCTGGTCATCTTCTTTCAGACCATGAAATGTTTAGTCTGTAACTAACCAACTGACATTTTAGTTTATGGTGATCTAAATAGAATATGGCAAAACTAAACTTCCAACCTTAAGTATGAGCTACTCAATCTAACTCAAATTTAAGAATAAAACTCCTACCTGGTTTCTGCTTGCTCAGTTTTGGAAACCTCTACAGAAACCACAAACATTCAGAATTCCTTTGTGTGAGGAGGTGGTATGAAACCCAAGTTAGCACACAGGCAGTGTGAGCTTGGATCAGCTATGTAACTACCAGCAGTGGTACTTGCTGATACTCCTGTGGTGGGAGAAGCACAAGACTTGGACAGCTGTATACCCCCTGCCAGCACACAGTAAACATCCAAAACACAGTAGCTGCTATTATTAGTACTACTACTGTTTCATTATTCTAAATTAAAAGGTATATAAGCGCCCAATCAATCTAGTTTTACAGAAGAATAATTTATGCCACTAATTTTTTAAAATATTTGGAATATTATAGCATCTCCTAATATCAGAATAAAATATATTTGGTTATTTCTAATATATCATCAGAAGATACCTAAATCAATTATAACTACTTCTGGTTTAATATCTCCAATTATAAGTCATGATGTGCACAATTTTCTCTCGTGTATTACATTATGAGTCTTTAATGCTTCAGAGTAGACTTTTAGATACAAAAATAAAAAGGCTCCAAGCAAACAATCTACATGTTAAACAATTATAAAATCCAATTGCTCACCTGCCTTCCAACCCATGTGGAATACATACTTTTTTTGTGATACCAGGGATTAAACTCAGGAGCACTAGACCACTGAACCGCATCTCCGTCCCTATTTTGTATTTTATTTAGAGACAGGGTCTCTAAATAAAAAGGCTGGGGATGTAGCTCACTGAGTTGATCAGTGCCTCGCTGTTGCTGGCTTTGAACTCGTAATCCTCCTGTCTCAGCCTCCCAAACTGCTGGGATTATAGGCGTGCGCCACCATGCCTGGCCAGGAATACATACTTTTAAAGATACAATCCCTTGGGATTAAGAGAGAAACTGTTAAGACCTGCTGCTCATCATGAGCAAAAGGCAGCAAGCACACAGTCCTGACTGGTGAAGAGCCAGTGTCGAGCACCCTACCTTCTTCTCCCTCCCACTGTCGGCCTGCACCGTTTCCAGGCGGGCTTTGAAATGCTCACAGTCCAGTTTCAGCTGCTCTAATTCTTGCTCCTTCCTTTCCAGGTCTAGGAGAAAGAGACATAAAATACTCAAGACATGCCAAATCATGAATCTCTCCTAAGCATCATTTGCCCAATCTTCCTTTGGTAAAGCCTGCACTGACTTCTTAGCTAACAGTAGTTACATTTCTGATATCTAAGCAGTCCTTGAGTAACCAATACTCTGTTAAGTTCTTATCAGTTTTTAGTCCAGAGGAGAAAGTGCTTCTTTTTATTGTTTTGTTTTGGGCTTTTAAGGCCTCAGTTTACTGCCAGACATGAACTCAAGGCTTCAAGAAAATGGTATTTAAAAAACTGAAGGCAGAGCAGAAAAGCCGACTGTCTCATGGTTCCCCATGAAGCAGAAGGCAGCTCAGTGAGTCGATGGTGCCAGCACAGGCTGATTCATACAGCAAGTCCCGCCAACTGGCAGACTGACTCAATGGGAACAATTGCAGAAGCAGTCAATGGAGGAGGGAAGCAACAGAGATCAAGAGGAGAAAATGCTGTAGTGGAGGGGTAGGAACTAGTCATGCTTCCTTTCCACCATATTCACTTAGATGATGAGTCACAAATGGCCTAGAAAAACAACTTCAAATATTTTCATTTTAGAAATACCAATGTTCAAAAAATCAAATACCTAACATAAATTTTTAATTGTTTTTTTTTTTCCAGAAGGGTTGAGAAATCATCTGGGAATTCTGGCTTTTGTCAGTACTAAGGGTTGAACTCAGGGCCTTGTGCTTACTGAGCTACATCACCAGCCTTTTTATTTTTTTATTATGAGTCAAGGTCACACCAAGTTGCCCAGGCTGGCCTTGAATTTGCAATCCTCCTGTCTCAGCCTCTCTGGTAACCAGCAACATAGGTGTGTACCTCCACATCCAGCAAAATCATCCATTTTTACACCCACATATTCCAAGATTTGAGGAGAACAGTGCTAAACACTTGGTATAATGTCTCTAATTCAACAGTGATTCTCAAACTTGAGCATACATCAGAATCAGGATTTAGGCTCTATCCATGGAGTTTCTTATGCAGTGGGCCTGGGTAGACCTGAGAATTCACATTTCTGATGTCTGAAAATCCACACTTTGAGAACAACTGCTTCAGGACAACAGCCGTCATCTCTCATCACTAATAAAACGAAATGAACACAAGGCACATGCAGCATAGGCGAGCATGGGAACTCAGCCACCACTTGGTGAAAGAGCAAACACAGAGGGTAAAGAAGGCCTCAGTAATAAGGGAAAGTCTCAGCTGGAAAACAATGTTATTCCACCCTCAAGGAGAAAAGGATAACAAACAAGTCCTCATTTAAGAGCAGACAAAAGAGAAGGGGCAGGTTGCTGGGTGTGGAGTCACATGCTTGTAAACCCAGCTACTCCAGAGGTTGAGGCAGGAAGATCACAAATCTAAGGCCAACCTGGGCAACTTAGTGAGACCTGGTTTCAGCATAAAAAATAAAAAAGGATGGGGATGTGGCTCAGTGGTTAAGCGACCCTAGGTTCAACCCCTGGTATCAAAAAAAAAAAAAAAAAAAAAGGACTGGAGATATAATTCAGTGGTTGAGTACTTGCCTTGCATATACGAGCTCCTGGATTCTATCCCCAGTACCACAAAAAATGAAAAAAGTGAGAGGGGCAACGCTTTAACCTAGTGGTCTGAGAAGGCTAGAGAAAGCCCAAATAAACTCCTAGGAACTGCTGAGAACTACATGGCATTCCAAAAGCTCTGGAGGAAGAAACTAAGGCAGTCTCTTAAGTTTTCCTGCCAAAGAAGAAAGATTAGAACCTAAAGGTTCTTATTCAGACCAGCTAGAGATTACAAAACTAGCTGGCAAAGCTTCTCTTAATATGTTTCTCAGAAACTAGGATACCATCACTTGCACTATTTCTTCTTTCCTAAATCAGAGTTGTTTTTTCTGCTCTCTTAAGGTATGATGAGCTATGACATGACTTTTTACTGTAATTCTTTTCTTTTGTCCCACTAATCCTAGATAACTTAAGAAATCAACTATCAATGACTAAGATGCTTTAAAAACCATGTAGTTGCATATTTGTAGATGTTGAATAAAAATAGTATTTATACGCATGCAGAAATACATAATCATATATGATATACATACCACATGCAGTCACAGACAAAAAAACAAAATGTAGAAAACTAAGACAAAACTATCGGTAGTTTAAAATTTCCTCTTTGTAGTTAACCCTTAAAGTTTGCTTCTACTATTAAGCTACATATTACTTGAACACAGTAAAGAAAACAGAAAATCACATCTCTACCTCTTTATTTTGTGTAAAAATCTATAGGAATTCTGGCCACCCAAAAGACTTCTTTCACTAAGATAACTTTATGATCTCTTGCTCTCTTGGAAGATTATGACCTTACTGTAGATTAACACACAAAGCCACAGGGTAACCCCCACTCCAAGTCAATGTTGAGGGAGTCACCCAGCACACTCACTGAGCCAGCAGTCCCTTTCCACTGTGTGAGGCCGCCACCTTGTGACCAGATGGGAGCACTGCTGCCCAATCCTAACTATCCCACTTTTCAACCTGGCCCACTGCTTGCCACCTACCCCCATGAGGGCAGGGATTTTGTTTGGTTTTATACTAAACTCCAAGAATATGGAATGCAGCAGGTACTACCTAAATATATGTCACATGGATAATTTCACTTTTTTATATATCATTCCTCCTCACCCTCCAATAGAGAAAAACATGTAGCCATTTATTATCTGTAGCCTCTAAATGAAAAACTATTGCTTTTGCAATTTTTTAAAAACCCAGGGAATAAAATAATATAGTAGTCAGTGATACATTATATCTAGTCAAGACATTATTCTAGCACAGCATGGTAGCACATTCCCATAGTCTAAGTTATACAAAAGATGAAGTGGAAGGATTATAATTTCAAGGCCAGCCTGAGAAAATTAGTGAAACCGTGTTTCAAAATGTAAATAAATAAATAAATAATAAGGGGCTGGGGTGTAGCTCAGTGGTTGTGCAATGTGCAGGGTTCAATCCCCACTACAAAAAAAAAAACCAGACATTATCTTACCCAGCCCTTGAAATTAAAATGGGGCCTGCCACCCAGTCTCAACTGTATTTTAGTTGCTAGTTCTCAGCACTCAAAATGAAGATGAACTCTCAATCTAACTATGCAAACTAAATGGAAAGCAAGGCTTTAGAGATTTGTTATACAGAGAAACCACAAACCATTTCAACACCAATGCATTTTCTAAAACTATAATCCTTATTTCATAGTCTATTTTTTGTTTTTGTTTTTGTTTTGTTTTTTTGAGTTTTTTTGTAGTACAGAGGATTGAACCCATGTCACTGTACATGCTAGACAAGTGCTCTCTACCTTGGGCTACCTTGGCTATATCACAATCCCTTCTATTTTATTTTGAAACAGGGTCTCACTAAATTGTGTGCCCTCAAACTTTCAATCTTCCTTCCTCAACCTCCTGAGTGGCTGGAATTACAGGTGTGCACCACCACACCCAGCTTCATAGTTTTAACAATATTAGAATGACTCTTTTTTTTTAAGTTGTTGGTAGACTTTTATTTTATTTATTTACATGTGGTGCTGAGAATCGAAGCCAGTGCCTCACACATGACAGCCAAGTGTACTACCATTGAGCCATAGCCCCCAGCCACAGAATAATTCTTTTAATGCTCAATTTATTCATAGGGAAGGCAGAGAGCTTTAAATGAAAAGCAAGACTTCTAAAACACTAATCAAAGAAATGAAGACCATCCAGAAGGATTAATTTCTACCCTTTAACACAAGGCATATTTATCACAAATCACCAACCATCTTCCATTAATATATTCACTTTTATGAGTCGTAAAACAAAAATAAAGGCTTTTTAATTAACCATTAACTTTTATCACTCTCTGTTAGGTTCAGAAAAGAATTTAGAGTATATTACTGATGGTTTCCATTTCTATTTTGAACTGAGATTTGCGTAGTTTATTAGTTTCTTGAAGGTGTGGTAACAAAGTACCACAAACTGAGTGATTTAGAACAACAATAATGTATTATTTCCCAGGTCTAGAAGCTACAAATCCAACTCAAAGCATCAGCAGGGCCATTCATTCTCCTAAACCTAAAAGGGAAGGATCCTTCCTTCCTCTTCCACCTTCTGGCAGCCCCAGACAACTAATAGCCATTTCAGTCATATGGCCTCTAGGAGGTACTACTTAGGCTGCATTGTCTGTATATATCTTGATCTTCCCTGCTCTCATGTTCCTTACAGGTTACAACCATCTCATGTACACTTGTGAATTTTTTATAGTAACCAATATATACTCAGTAGAGGACTGAGAAGATCCCACTGCATAAGGTCCTCCAGTGGTGCCTGCAGTCCCAGTTACCCAGCTCCCTGCTCCATGTCATGAGTGCCCAACCTCTTAGGGCAATTTCTGGAGGCCAGCTCTGCTGTGATGCCATCCTCAGCAGCTCCCCACTGCTGTACCCATACAACAGCAAGGTTACAGTATCTTCAGTGGTGGACTCTCAGATAGTCATTCGCTCTTCTTCCCCATATCACAGTCTCAATTGCAAGATCTCAAAATTGGAAACAACGACAAAAGTCCTTTCTTCCACAAAGAACCCTCTACCCAGCAATGAAATGTACCGCAGAAATAATGCTGGTGATTTAAATAGAACTTTGATGATCTCCTTTGGTGTACTCCTTATAGGTTCCAAAAATGTTGAAAAGGTGAAAAAAAATGTTAATATTCCAAAATTTATTTTTTAAAAATGAAATAATACCTCAGTTAATAAACTTAAATGCACTTGAAGTCCTAGCATCCATCCTAAGCCAGCCAAATACTTTAATTAGCTATCAAAATTTTTAAACAAATCAAAGGGAGGGAGGGAAAATAGAAATTTTTTAATTGAACTAACAAAAAATCTGCTTCTAAAACTATATAAAGGCCTTAATCTTTTATAGAATGAGGAAAATGTATGACTAATCAGAATGTGTTCCCATACGGGCACAGCTAGTGTAT